CATCTACCGTGCCAGCTCCATCCCCTTCGCTGAAGAGGTACTTAAAACAAAACTGAAAATTGTAAGCACGAAGCTTAGTGAGTTCCCCCATCATACCACATACCATAAAGCTAAAATACTGTCGGGCAATTATGGGGTGCCCGACCTACCTTATCTGGCAATTCTAGGGTGCCGACCTACCCTATCTGGCATTTCTAGGGCGGCAACCTACCCTGTATGGAAATTCTAGGGTGCCGACCTACCCTCTAGTTTAACTCAACCGGCTACGGGGACTATTTCACCCCCTACTGCTACCACATAATAACATAGCATAAACATATTTTCGAGCATATTTAGGGTGCCTGACCTATCCTTCGGCCCTTACGACTGTAACATGGGGACTATTCCCCCTACTACCTAACATCCTATCATACTAGTGCATAATCATAACAAATAGCAGGTATCACATAATTATCACGAAGACAATTATCTCTACTATAACTCTTAATGGCGGGATGGCCTTGGTACCTTAGACCCACTTCTACTGAAGCTGACTCACCTCAATGTTATGTTGTGTCTAAACTATCCTCGATGCTGGGGTCAACTCCTCTCAACACCTACAAATAACAACCTTCCTTAATTACCACTTCATGCCCTTAACCCTTTTTAAGGGTCAACTCAGGTCAAAGTCAAAGTCAAGGTCAACACCTTGGTCAAAGTCAACTTTGGTCAAAGCCAACATCTGGTTGACTCAACTCACCGAGTTGAGCCACCAACTCGTCGAGTTCCATAATCCCTAGAACGCTAAAAGCTTCGAACCTACTTGCTGAGTCTTTCAAGAACTCGCCGAGTTCTCCATCATACAAATTCAGGACCTTCTATAACTGACTCGGCGAGTTCATCCTTGAACTCGTCGAGTCTTGTTCCTTGTAAGTTGGCACGTCTAGTCCTAGACTCGCCGAGTTCTCCATGAACTCGTCGAGTTCTTCTTCGTGCAGTTGGGACTTAGCCTTGAACTCGCCGAGTTTTGTTCTTGAACTCGCCAAGTTCCATGATCTTCAGGTCCACAATGAACCTAAATGGCTGAGTCTTCGTCTAGCTCAATACATTGCTCATTTTTTGAAGAGGTTTGGGGGAAACTGCAACCCGACTCGGCAAGTTGTATGAGCTACTCGCCAAGTCCCTCCATGTCCAAAACAATTCAGTCGATTTTAGTTGGCCTTAATGCTTTCAAAACATAGATCTGACCTCCTAGGGTCCATATTACATGTAAAGTTACAAACTTGGCATTCATGCATGGGGTATTTGGCTCAAAGGGTCTTAAAAAGGTTTATATGGTGCATGGGACTCCCATGGCCACAAAGTTGGCACCTTTATGCAATGGGGTCCCTTTAAGGCTCTGGATCCGAAGTTATAGCTCCCAATCAAGCTTTCACCCATAAATGGTTCCATAAAATGCTCCATAAAACCCTAACTTACCCCACGAAGGGATCTAAGGAAGGAAGAAGCAAGGTATAGACTTTATACCTCAAATGAGTTGGAAAAGTGGCACAATCTTTGGATCTACTAGCTTCCTCAAGAACCTTGAATCCTTCTCTTCCTTCTCTAGCTTCAAACTCACCACAAAAACACAACTATGGCTCAAGAATACTCAAAATGGGCTAGGGTTTCGTGAATGTTGTTTGGAGGTGATGGAGGCTATAAAGAAGGCCATTTAAGGTGTTTAAATAAGGAGAAAACCCTTAAAATTATGGTTTCACCCAGACAGGCCTACTCGTCGAGTCGGGGCATCTGACTCGGCGAGTAGGTCCTTCCACCCGCATCCAAAATTCACTTCGACTCGATGAGTTGGGGCCTCCAACTCACCGAGTGTCAGAGGAAAACGCAAAAATTCATATTTAAAAATACGTACCAGGAACCAAGTGCTATTGGCGATGGACTTCTTGTTTATAAGGCAAAGTTGACAATGCCATAAACATAATTTATCTAATTAACTATTAGAAGAACCGACATTCATTAATAGTTTATCAACTTCACCTACGCAAACAAAACTTTCATATACACCTTTACTCGGACTAGCTTTGAAAATAAAACAACCATTCTTATAAACCAAAGTGTCACCATTATCATTATCAAGAGAAAAACAACAACCATCCTTATAAAGTGCATCAAAAAAATAATGTTTCATGCCATATTAGGCGAGAAACAACAATTAAAAAAAACTAGATTGAGCTCATAGTTCCTAATCCTTGTAACAACTGACTTGTGCATGTTTCCCCATGATAAGGTTGAGCTCACCATGCCTTAACTTCCTATTTTATCTTAGTCCCTGGATATCAGAGAAAATGTGAGTACCAAATCATGTATCAAGAATCCAAAGAGTTAGAAGTATATGTATTATGGAGTTCAATCATAAACATACCTGATGTGCTAGCTAACGTGACTTTGCCCATTTTCAGCTACTTCAGGTATTTAGGGTAACTACGATTCCAGTGTCCCATTGACTAGAAGTAAAAGCAAATGACCTCATTTGGATCAGTATAGGGAGCTCTCTTGTATACTAGCTTATGTTGTTATTAACAAGTCGTGAAGCTCCATGAGGGTCAATTGGTATCAACCATTTTGTCCATAAGGAACTCAACGAATAAAGTGGGAAGAGAACACAAGATCCAATCCATGATCTACTCCTTCGTAATCCCAACACCTAAATTAGTCAGTCTATCAAAGATTGTTTTCATCTTATGAAAATGCACACTTATAGACTCCCCATATTTATACTTGCATTCTAGAAGAGATTTTGTGGTCTCAAACTTTTCAATTATCGCATTGAGAGGATTGGAGGAATTTTAGTGTTTTGAGTTGGAGGACGAGGAGGATTGTTGTTGCTGTTAACTTGGATCGACATCTACAAAAGATAAAATTCCAATTAGTTTAATATATAAAGTCCTTAATAAATAATCACCCTAAATCAAATTATTAAATTAATCCTAGGATCTATATTTGGCTTCATGATGCGAAAAGGAATGTCGTAAACACACCACAATGTAATTTAGGTAGACAAAACTCTTTGTTAATTTCGATCACTAGGAAATTCCAAGATCTTTGAGATTCATTGACTATCAATGGCATGTTAATCTCGGATTATGTTCATCTCAAATTCAATGATGGGGATGTCGTAGATCATTGAATAGATGGAGAATCACCCATACAAAATTGTGTGGTCTCCGATGCAAGTTACGCTTGACATTCACGAGTTTCCCACCATTCTCTATTTATACTTTCAAATTGATGTTTTGGTTAACCACATGAGCTCCTTCAAAAAGTTATAAAGAGAACGTGCAACTTTTTTGGATAACATTAGATTCACTTTTAATTAAATAAAATGGGATTTTGTTTTATACATGTATTTAGAATACTTTTAGATTAACCATTATCACTATCAAACGCTTTTGGTAACTCCATTCTCAAAATGCAATAGGGCGACGAGGGTGGTAAGCATGAAGCACATTAAAAAACTGACCTCAGTAGGAGTCATAGAGACTTCCTTAAACCCCTACATCAGAATGGGTGAGCCTAGTCAAGGTAAGACTGACACTGCCAATATTTAAAACATACGAGGAAGCATGTTGTAACTTTCTGATACATATAGTAGATACCATTCTAATATATATATAGTAGATATATATATATATATATATATATATATATATATATATATAGAGATATATATATATATATATATATATATATATATATATATGTAACTTTCTGATACATATAGTAGATACCATTCTAATATATATATATATATATAGAGAGAGAGAGAGAGAGAGAGAAAGAGAGAGGTAGATTTAAACTCATTAAATTTAGTTGTCTAATATTAATTCTTATTAATTTTCAGGACACAATATAGTAATTAATAAATCACGGGGGGTTAATATTCAAATTCATAATCTATATTATAAACAATATTAAACATTTAAATTCACTATTTAAATAACAAATAAATATTTAAATTCAAATAATAATATTTAAATAATATTTATCAATTTTCTAGATTTAAAACATTTTAAATTTGGTATTTATCAATATTTAATAAAACTTCAAATATGAAAATGAAAAAAAGGGAAACCCTAATCCGGCAAGCTCATGGCGTGAGTTGCGAATAAAGCTTTTTCAGTTGCGATTTTTTCGATCTTTCATCTTTCATTCAATTTCAAACAAGCGTTTACAGAAAATATGGATCTAGGTTGACTGTAATCATGAACCAATGGCTCTGATATCACTGTTAGGTTTTATACACATCAAATACATTCTAAACTAGGTAGCAGAAAAATTGAAATAACGATATACCTAAGTGTACATGTTGCCTATGGATCTATGGTTTCATATTAATTAAATTTACGCTAGAAAAAAAATACAAAGGAAGAATCACATACCTCTTTTGTATCAAAAGACCTTCGTGCTTGACTCCTTGTTCGTGCCACCTTGTTTGGATGATTAGGACCCAAACCAAAAAACCCCTCTCTTGGTTCACACCCAATTAACTCTAAAGAGTAGAATCAAAATAACTAGGATAGGATGAACTGTAAGGAGAGTAATTCCACAAGGAGGGAGAAAAAAGTGACTAAATTTTTAAGCCAAAGAATGAGTTAGGAAGAATGAATCCCTACGGCCCCATTTATAGCCTTGGATACCTTCCAAGGTTTTATCCTCAAGCCCATGTGGGATGGAAAACCCTATGAACTAAATTCCACTTATACAAAGTGAATATTCATCCACCACCCTTCTTCCAAGGGTTCTGGAATATTCCTGATTAATCAACTATTGATTAATTGATATTCAACCCATCTTATTCAATTAATTGTTAATTAGTTCCCAAGTTTTCTGATTAGTTTCTAATTAATTAATAAACCTTAATAATTAATAAACTAATTCATCCTTTATTAATTCTACTTAATTTAAGTGTTGAGGGCAACCCAAGAGGACCCTTTTATTATTGGAAATATTACCAATAGTTAATGACCTTGGACACACTTCCCAATACTGACATCAAGGGTATAACAGCTTTGGTCGATGATGATGATGATGTGACGATTGAAGAAAATCCTCCTTCCTCTCAAGGTGATGATCAACCTCATCCACCACCTCCCAGGAATAATACACCCCTATCATCATCTGTCAATAATTAACCATATCCACCTACAACAAATCCTCCTCCTCGAGCTCCATCTCTGCCTCAAGACACTCCTCCCTAAACTTATGATTCCAAAAAAAGGGAGAATAATCAAGAACAAGTGATGATGACTACAACTTCATCACATGTGAATCATACTAAATCAAGAAGGGAGGATAATCAAGGAAAAAAGTTTATCTTTTAGTCTGAAGTAGTGAATGATGACCAGCCCATTCTAGACGTTGATGATCAGTCTGAGGCGGATGACTATAAAGGATTTCTTGACTTGGATTGTATGCCACAAACTGTTATCCCTCTAAGTGTTGTTTACCCTGATGTATATTCTAAGAAGGGGGGGGGGGGATTCCTCAAGGAACTAACAACGATATCAAGTTTGATGATGGTTAGGTCAATCCTAGATTAAGAAAGGTTCCCATATTAGGAGGAGCAAATGATGTCGAAGCTAGAAGTTCCTCAGCCGCTGGTGTTTCTTCGGTCACTCCTCCCAAGAAGTACAACTTAATAGTTGATTTGGAAGATTTAGCTGAAGACTGGAAAATAACCTTTGAGTAGGTTAGAAAAATTATGTCAGAACATAATGCTTCGGTTCAAACAAGAAGAGATGAACATCAATCTATCAAACTTGCTCAGACCCTTACACCAGTTGATGCTCAAGAGACCAATATTCTGCCTTTCAATATTGATGTGGCCAAACGAAATAAAGTGTCTGATCTGAGTGACCGAATCAACCAGAATAAATTTGGAAATATTCTAGGTCGAAGAAATCACCCTGATCCCAACATCAAATTTAGATGCACCAATCCAAGAATGAATCACTCAAGATTCATATGGTGAGGAAGAAGTTCAAGTATGAATACATTGATGTTATATTCGCTCTTGAATTGGTTAAATATGGCCACAGCGAGTGGATACAGATTCAAGAGATAATTTATAAACAAATAGGTGTTCAGTCTCAAGAGGTAAAGTTGGCAATTCAACACCTAATCAACAAAGTTAAGAAGTTGAACTTAATGCCTTCAGTTGGTCCCTCTCAGCCATCTACCTCAGAAAGAACTGGTAAGCCTAGATTTTCCAAATACACTAAGTTCCTTCTTTCATATGGCACTCCCTACATCAACAACAAGTTGTCAATAGGTCTTTAACTAGTTCAATATATGTGTATTTCGGAACCAGAATATGGTATCTTCTATCTTGATAGTTAAAACCAAATGTGTTTTCAACGTACTGAAGATCTACTTGATGCCCCACTAAGAATATGGTCAGTCTTCGTCTAGAGGGTATGCGATGTAAAGAACTAGAATGATAATATCATGTGTTGATCCCTTTTGAACTCAGTAAACGTTTATATGATCTTCATCTTTATGACTTTAAGTGGTTGAAGCCTTAGATCTTGACTGAATCTGAAACGTTATCTAATGATGAGTATGATGACTCCTATGAAGACTAGTTTTGACATCATCAGATATGGGAGATTGTAAGGCCACACTTTATGATCTGATAAGTCAAACCTCACATGTTGACCACCAGCACCAACATCAACACCAACACCAGCATCAACATGATCAGCGTCATCATTAGCTCAATGATTTAGTGACTATTTATATATTAGGAAGTTATATGTTGTATATATAGAATATATGTGTCATCCATAATCTTAGTGATTAAGATCAAACCTTTACTTAAATTAGTTACATACCCAAAATACTGGATCTTCATTTCTATAATCATATATATTATACTATTAGGTCAAACCCTAATAAAATTTGGTGTCGTCTTTGTGACCTCGGTCTCTTTATGAGAACCCTCTTTCTTAGTGAAAGTATCTTTGTGATCATATGTGTTCTTCTATTTTCTGTTTAATCTTTTGTTTGTTTGTTTACTTTTTTTATTCATATTTGAGTGTATTCAATCGATATAAACCTTCACTCATGTTTTGGTGTGCATCTTGAAGATCAAGTTGCTTCCCCAAGTGTTTTGGTGAATATCTTAAGTGTAGATCCAGCAAAATGACTTCATTTCTGAACCATTGTGGGTATAAAGCTTCAACCTTTGCTTCTAGTTTGTTAGATCCAACTTTTGGTATGTTTTTATGTTTTTTGTCCTTTTTGGTGGCATGCTTGGAGTATAGATGACTCCAGCCGTAATGACCCTAATTATGATGACATGTGCGGAATTATAAAGATCTAGTGAATCATCCAAACATCAAGAACACCAAGAGTTAATAAATCAGTTAAGCTCCATTAGAATAGTAAGAGTACAAGTGGGTTTTAAATTTTCTCTCACTAAACTAAAAATCACAAATAGGTCTTACATATTGGGAGTCACTCGCTTCCAATTTATAAGAAAGACTCAACCCATTTACACATACAAGAGGGTGAGCCACATCCAAGGAGAACTTTGCACCCTAACATTCTCCACCTTAAAGTTAGGATTGGATGTCCCGAATTCAGTTTCCAAACAAGCTCACACGATCTATACCAACTCCCCCTCGAAGTAACATTGGTCTTAAAATTTGCAAATGAATACTTGAGAAGCATCGATTACCCATTTCTACATTCTCCCTCTTTTATAATCAAAAAGTGATTATAAAACCCACAAAGGATGAGAAGCACTCGAGGAACAAACTTGATGAATCTACCCCTAGATGTGTGCCAAAAATGAAATCGTGAAAATATTGCGTATAAAACAATCACGAAAAGCCAAGAAATTTTTCCAAATTTTGTGAAGATTTTCAAATTTTGGGTGAGTGTTCAAAGAAGGTATCATTGAGCGTTTGGGTAAGGGTCTCGGGGCTTTTAGCTCGAGATCACAAGTGGGCAATTAGGGGTACAAACTCTATCATTCATGGAGTTTGAGGCTTGTGGAGCCTTGGAGTTCTTTTAGGCTAAGAACCCCATTACTAGCCATCGATGGATCACTAACATGGAGAATGTGCAACGAATAAGCTTCTAACCTGAGGAGTCCAATGTGGGGTTTACATCTTGCCTCTTAAGGGATCGAGCTCGCGACTAATAGGAGGAGGTTGGTAATGTTTTGGGACCTATGGGTGTGGTACCCATGACTTGGGAGGATTTTGTATCAAGATTCCGAGTTGATATTGCACTGGTAATCAACGTGTAGCAGCTGGCAGGGGAGTTCCAGGACCTTCACTAGACTATTATGATTATGGTGGATATCACTACCATGTTTCGAGAGAGAGCTTTGTTGGTTACATAGTATGTAGCGGATGAGGAGATGAAGAAGAGGAGATACCATGACATGTTGAGGGATGACATCTAAGAGTTTGTGAAAATATCCAGTTGTAGGACATTAGAGGACATGATTACTATGGCCCGAGAAACGGAGATTGATATGGAGATTCTTAAGAAGCAGATTCAATTCAGGTTCAATCAGTGGAGGGATCTGGAAAGAATCCCAACGTGTTTGACTCCCAATCTAGAGGTCAATAGGGTCGAAGCCGATGCAGCAAGTGCAGGAAACTACATGACGGGGCGTCTCAAGTCTATGGTTTAGGCTGCTACAGGTGCAGCAAGAGTGGTCACATGAGCAGGGATTGTCCCCAGATTTCAAGTGTGATTTGCTTCCATTGAAATCATACGGGCCACAAGAAGGCCGAGTGCCCTAAATTGACAGTAGGAGTCGTGGCGGCGCATGTGCCATCCACTTTCAGGATTACTGATGACCGCATGGCAACGCAGAGGCTCCGATGGTGAAGACTCATGCAATCTAATTGATAATTGAGGAGGCACGGGTAGCACCTAATGTGATCACTAGTATTTCTTCTTAATTTATCTTATATTGCTATCTTTATTTATGCTTATGTTTTATCTGATTATATATAGGGACTTTCTTAGTCAATGGTATGACTGCTCATGTCCTGTTTGATTTGGGTCTTACCCGATCTTTTTAATCTCTTAGGCTTAACAATAAGTTTAGCGACTCTCCATAGGTTCTAGATTATCCATCGGATGTAGAAATTATGGATGATCATTCAGTGAGTGCTTCGAGGGTTCATCGAGGATGTGTCCTAAAGATGTTCAACAAGAGATATTATGTTGTCTTGGTTCTAATTCCATTACGAGGGTCGAAGGTTATTATGGCAATTAATTGGTTAGGCTCTAATAGAGATATGATTGATTGTGAGCACCAGTTAGTGAGAGTTCAAAATCTAAGTAAGGGAGAACTAGTTATTCATGGTGATGGTTCTCAGCAAGAACCATCTCTTTATTCAGCTACGAGAGCTAGGATATATCTCCAGAAGGGTTGTTCTAGATTCTTGGCCTGTGTGGCGGATACTCGCTTTGATGGGACGACGACCGTTATTAATATACACATTATTCGAGATTTTCCTGATGTACTCCTAAGGATCTACCTGGAGTGCCTCCCGAGAGACAGGTTGAGTTCCAGATTGATTTGATTCTCGGTGCGGCTCTGATAGCCAAGGCATAATATTGATTAGCACCCCTAGAGATGCAGGAATTTTCTACGTAGCTTCAGGAGCTGTTAGGCAATGGGTTTATAAGATCGAGCAATTCTCCATGGAGAGAATCGATGTTCGTGAAAAAGAAGGATGGTTCACACAGAATATGCATTGACTACCAGGTGTTAAATAAGTTAACGATGAAGAACCGTTATCCACTCCCGAGAATCAATGACTTATTAAACCAGCATCAGGGTGCATTTTGGTTCTCCAAGATCGATTTGTAGTCGGAATACCATCAGATGAGGGTCGGAAATGAGGATGTGCCAAAGACTGCCTTCATGATTTGTTATGGTCATTACGAGTTTGCGGTAATGCCTTTCAGGCTCACCAATACACCAACAACATTCATGGATCTCGTGAATAGGGTATGTAGACTAGTGTTGGATCGGTCGGTGATTCTATTTATTGATGATATTCTGGCCTACTCCAAGACCAAGGAGAAACATCAAAAGCATTTGCAAGAGGTATTGGATACCCTAAGGAGAGAGAGGCTTTATGCCAAATTCACAAAATATAAGTTTTGGTTATGTGAGGTGTAGTTTTTAGGGCACATCGTGAACCAAAAGGGTATATTGGTCGGCTCGGCCAAGATCGAGGCGGTGATGCAGTGAGAGGTTCTAAGGACTCCCTCTGGATTCAGAGTCTTTTTTGAGAAAATTTCATGAGAAGTTAGGTACTTAACTTCATTTTAGCACAGCATACCATCCCCAAAATGATGGACAAAGTGAGTGGACTATTCACACGCTCAAGGATATGCTCAGGGTATGTATGTTGAATTTTGGTGGTAGTTGGGATACTTATCTTCCACTGTTTGACTTCTCCTACATACTTATCATGCCAGTATGGATCGAACACCTTTCGAGATGTTTTACGGAAGGAAATATTGGATCCCATTTTGTTGGGGTTAGGTTGACCATCAGGTTATGGGGAGTATTAAGGTAGTACTCAAGACCACCAAGTTGATTCAATAGGTACGAGGTCGACTGTAGACTGCTTAGAGTCTCCAGAAGAGATATGTTGACCGATGGTGATTAGATCTCGTGTATCAGGTGGGAGATTTTATGTTTCCTAAAGGTGTCACCTTGGAAAGGTGCCATGCGATTCCGAAAGCAGAGCAAGTTGGGCTCCCGACATATTGGTCCATTCAGGATTACCGGTCGGGTGGGCAATGTTACTTGCCGATTGGACCTACCTAATGAACTCATTCAGATCCACAGCACATTCCACGTTTCTCGGTTGCAGAAATTTCTAACTGAAGACTCTCCAATAATTCCATTGGATAATATTCAAGTAGATGAGCGCATAAATTATGTTGAGAGGCCAATTGGGATTCTTGATAAGAAAACGAAGACCTTACGCAACAAGATAGTGGTATTAGTTAAGTTGCAATGTCAGCACCGTAAGGGTTCAAAGTGGACTTGGGAGCCTGAGGATGTCATGAGAGAGCACTACCGGGAATTATTTGCAGTAGCAGACTTCAAGGAAGAAATCTGATTCAAGTGGGGGTAAGTTGTTACATTTGAATATTAAGGTACATTTTATTTTATTAATGTTTAGCATTTTGGGAGTTTCCACAGTGTGGTGAAGGATCACCATGACATGGCTATGAAATTTTGATCGCAAACTTCTTTTGACCTGCCACCACGGCTTGGCCGATGC